CACGGTTCCTGGGATGGAGTCCCACATTGGACTCTGAGATGACAATATGTAGTCTGCTTGGGATTCTCTCTCTCTGCCCCTCCCTTGCTCATACTCTCTCTCTCTCTCTCTCTCTTTCTGTCTCTCTCTCTCTCTCAAAATAAATAAACTTTAAAAAGAAGAAGAATGAAGAAATGAGTTTAAATCCATAGAGCTAGCTTTCTGATTTTTTAACATTTTTAAATGTTTATTTATTTTTGGGAGAAAGAGAGAGACAGAGTGCAAGCGGGAGAGGGGCAGAGAGAGAAGGAGAGAGAGAATCCCAAGCAGGTTCCTCACTGTCGTGCAGAACCCGATGTGGGGCTTGAAAGCCAAGGACCACAAGATCATTACCTGAGTTTGATGGTCAACTGACTGAGGAATCCAGGTGCCCCTAGCCTTCTGATTTTTAGTGGAAGTCAAGTTATCAGTGTTATCAACATTATAACTTTTACATTTGTTTGTTTCATTGGGGGTTTAAGACATTTAAGAGCATCTTACATATCAGACTTGAGATTTTCATTAAATGCATAAGTTAGTGTAAATGTGAACCACTATTTAATGTTTGCATAAATTTGGTTTATTAAATTAGTAAGCTTTTATGTAGGAGTTGTGTAAGTAGTACATAAATTGAAGAATGTGGCTTAATGCTGTTAATTGTTTAATAAATTCATAAGGGTAACAAACTTTACATTAAAGTGTCTTAAAGTCCTTTAGGCAATGGCAGGAGGAGAGGGGTCCTGAGTTTTCAGGCTGGAAGACACACAGCTAAGGGTCCACTAACATAGACTGGTTTTCTAGATTCATCACCTTTGCCCCTATTAATCACTAACAAGGTTAATTCTTAATTCAGCATATTACAGTGTCACAGTGAACAGAGAGCGAGAGCAGTGGGTTTTGATGGAGTAAGGCAACAGGGAAAGCCCCACACGTGGGGTGGGCAGTCAGACCCCACCAGAGGGGAATACTGATAGGTGGCCCCAGGTAGCCAAGTGGCAGTTTGAGCACAGGAAAGGAGACAGAGTTTCCACTCTATCAGTTATGACCACCATGCTGAGACCAAGAAGGACTAAATGGCCTTAAAACTATTTCACAATTTGTTTCTCCCACATTTCCACAATAGGCCTTGTCTAGGTAGGCCCTGTCTAGGATCAGAAATCATTTCACACCAGCCTAGTTTGCTCCTTTAGAACAAACAATACCTATATCACCAGCTTAACTACCAGATTGGGATAAATCATATCCACCCCCTTGATCTCTGTCTACCTGAGGCCTAAACAACCTGTAGAAGAGCTATTGCTACCGAAAGTGTGAAATGTCCATTCCTATGCCAGCCACAACCACCTCTATGAGACCTGAAGTGCCTACTCTGCTCCCACTTCCCTGGACTATACAGACATCCACAACCAGGATGCTCTGTATGTGGAAACCCTGATGTGTGACTGATATTCCTGAGGGCTTGTGTGCTCAGTCTCACATGAGGCAGTATGGGTTAATAAAGGTGTCTCCAGGTTGTGCCCACCAGTTTCCTGACAGCAAAAAGAAAATGCTGACCTAGAAAGAGATAGGAAGAAGACAATAGGGGACATCTTTCCAATAAGAGGAACACAAGAAAGACGTAAGCATTTGGTCTTAGAGAGAGAAGGAAAACACAAACCTAACTGCTGGCCTTTAGGTGACATGAAAAAATGGATGATAGTGGATTTGTTGGAGAAAGGACTGAAGGTGGCCATGAAGCTGTGCAGGCTGGGGAACTTCGCTTTGACCTGCTCTGTGCAGTCTGCTCACCCATGTTTGCAGTTTCTGAATGGCACCATAACCAAGCTCCACCTTTTACTGACTGTGTGACCTTACACAAATTACCTACCATTCCTGAGCCTCAGGTTCTTCGCCTGTAAGATAGAAATAATAAAATTTCAGTTTTTTATTTACTTATTTAATCTACATCCCAGAATTTTTGGAACGGAAATAACCCTGTAACACATTTTATTTGTGATAAATATATGGTAAAAGAGCTATTACTATTATCACCCAGGAGTATGTGTGTAAGTAAAGAACATCTGGGAGCACCTGGCTGGTTTAGTTAGTGGAGCATGCAACTCTTGATCTCAGGGTTGTGAGTTCGAACCCGGTGTTGGAGTGTAGAGATTATTTTAAAACAAAATCTTAAAAAAAAAAAAGAACATCTGACTGAACATAGTTTCTTTGGGGGAATGAAATGTTTAAATGAGAAGCCAACTCTCCTTTCTGGATCTTGGAAAATTCTCTTGAGTGTAACTCCCATTGGGAAACATCACACCAGCCTCAACAATCAACTATGAAGTCAGCAGTGACCATTTCACCAGACAAGCCTCCTGCTGTGGGGTCAGAAGTATCCTTCTACATGGCCCCACTGGGACTGCCTCAGTGGGACCAAGTACGGCATTGTAATCAATCCCTTGCTGTGCTCGGAGTTTTTCAGTCTCTAATGCACTTTTTCATGATCCATAACAACCCTGTGAGACAGACAGGATATCTGCTTTCATTGCCCTTTACAGATGAGAAAATTAAGGTCCACAAAGGTAAGTGACTAGCTCACTTTGATATGGCAGAGAAGGCTGTGTGTGTACACAGAAGGAAACCTCAGTCTTCTGACTTCTAGACGGGTGCTCTTCATATCTCAGCACCTTCCCTTCTAGGAGAAGAGAAATGACTCTTGCTGTTCCAGCTGCTACTTCCAACGATGAACCACTAATAGACAAGGAAAAATCAGTGCACCAGCAGCAGCTCCCACTGGAAACCTTGGGACCTTTATCATGTCAGCAATTATTGACCCATCCCTGTTCATTTTTAGTTTTTGTTTTTTTAAGCAACAGCTGACCTTAAGACAAAGACCACTCTGGTGGGGCTGGCCACAACTAGCCAGGACCTCCATCAGCAGCAAGTACCACAGTGTTACCTCTGTGCAAGCTTTGGCTCCCTTCCCTCTCTGGGCCTTGGTATCTCCACCTGTGCAGTGGGTCCAGCAGTGTTTACCTGATAGAAGTGTGGGGATTAGCTAGAAGGGTGTGTGTGAGAGTACCCTATCCGGAATCTGACACATAGTAAGTACTCAATAAAAGTGACGTGGGTTTTTGTTAATTGCATATTGTACTTGAACACTCCCTGGACAGATCATGATAAAAATTTGGTTTGAGTCACTGACTATGTCACTTGTTAGCTATGTAACTGTGTGAATTGCTTAAGCTCTCAGGGCCTCAGTTTCTTCATCTTGTAATACCTTCCTCACAGAAAGTAATGAGGGTTAAATGATGGAGTGTACAGAGCATTTTATGAGCTGAGAAGAGCTATGTAGGGTTTGGAAAGAAATGTCAGTGAGGCTCTGGGAAGGCCAGACAGGACAGATTAGACTTGGTGTGCAACTCTTTGGCTCAGGAATAAGGTAGAAGAAGAGACAAAACAGGGAGTCAGAAGGAGGGGGTTCACTGATCTGCCCTTGGTCCAGACAATGTGGTGCTAGGATTGCAGCAGTGAACAAAATAGACACATGGTGCTTACACTCTAGGGAGTATGAGGAACAGAAGAGGAGGTGCTGACTTGGAATTTGAACTTTTTTAAAAAGTTATCTCTACACCCAATGTGGAGCTTGAACTCACAACGCTGAAATCAAGAGTCACATTCTCCACCAATTGAGACAGCCAAGCACCCTTCTGAGTGGAATTTAAAAGGGCAAATCATTAACCAGAAAGAAGGATAGAGAGAAATGAGACCCCAAGCCAAAAGAATAAGCTTGGCCTTGTGGGAGAGACAGATGCTGAAAACAGAACCAGCTGCCCCAAAAAGGGAGAAACCAAGAATCCAAGGTGGGAAAGAATTGGGGGAGCAAGGTTGAGGTGATACAGAAGGGAGTGTGGTTGGTGATGGAAGGTGTCCTGAGAAGGAGTTCTTGGCACAGGATGGAGTATTGTGGCAGACACCAGGATCCGAGAATTTTCTCTAAGAATGCCCACCTCATAGTCAGGCACACAGCTCCCGATCTCTCCAATTCTGGTGTTTATTCTTCTCCTACTTCCTCCCCACAGTCTGACCAATTCCTGGGATCTGGGGTGATCCCCAAACTATCTCAGGGTACATACGCCTGAATCACTCTGGTGAAGTACATGCATGGCACAGGGAAAGACATGGCATGACCACCAGGAGTGCACCCTTCTGGAAACCCCAACACCCCCAGCCAGCTTCTGCTAATCTCCATGTGCACTTAGAATGCCCCTCCCTGCCTCACTCCAACTCCTGTGCAGGGTGCTGAGCTCCAGGGAAATCAACAGGCTGACAGAGCCTGTCACAATCAACTGTGTGACCAAAAGAAGAGACTGTGTCATTAACTGGGAATAAAAGCAGCAAACACAGCTGCAGGTAGGATTGTTGATTCCCAGGATTTTTCTTTCCCTTTCCCTTCTCCCTTTACTTTCTTCCTTTTTGAAGTGTACTATTCATTCAGCAAATGTTCAAAGTCTTGGTTCTCTAGGGCACAATGTGCCAAGTGATGCATGTAAGAGAAGAGATCAATGCATCCTCTGTTTCCAAGAAGCTTGTGTTTCTGGGGAAGAATAGATAAGCAGAGACAAAAAATTAATTTCTCTGACTCTTATTCTCTGAATCAAAGGGTATTCATTTCCCACTTGGCCCTGGTACTAACTTCTGGACCTCACCCTTCCCTTCTGCCACAGGTGCCATCTCAGTTAGTCTTGCTGCCCTTTCTCCCCTCTTCGGATTTTAAGACAATCCTGGAACCAGCTTTCCCACCCCACCAGGGTGAGGCTATGAAGCTCCAACCTCAAACACCTGGGCTTTGATCTTTTGCAAAGGATAGGGGAGAGCAAAAGAGTGTCTGAAGATCCTAGAGACACATGGGCATGGCTAAAACATGGGGATGGGAAAAACTCACTTTACTTTGCACCCAGAAACAAACACACAGAGAAGGAGAAAATTTAGTAATTGCTTGTGTTTTATTGGAGTTCAGCAAGGGGGGAACAGAGGAGGCAGTGGAAAGGAGGTGGTGCTAGAAAACACACTGGTTGAGTCTTGATTTAGTTCATACTGCATACTGGAGGGAGCAGGACTCCATTCTCTGATTTCCAACTTAGGATTTTCTCCTAACCCCACTGTGACCCAGGGTTTTGAGAACTGAGGAAGCCAGCTGGGATGTTCCAAGAAAAGCCAGTAGGATGGAGAACTTTGGGAGGAAACTGATTATTAATACCCGGGCGTAGATGAGTATTTCCCCAGCTGCCTCCTGGATACCGGTTAATATTTCCCCAGCTAGTACCTGGATACTGGTTAAGATTCCCCCAGCTAGTACTTGGGTATTGATTACTGATACCCCAGATTCCCAAAAGGTGTGACATGGGCCTTGTTCCCCATCCAGTTCCAGGACCTCCACCTCCCCAGGACACACTTGGATTTAGGGTTCCCCAGGGGTGCCCAGGTGGCAGTGGCTGTCGAATCCTGTTAATAAGAGAGGGTGGGCGTTGGGCAAAGATTTCTCTCTGGGCTCCCAGAACATTAGAATGGAATGGCCATCTAGACTCAGAGTCCTGGTGGAGGAGTAGAGCCTCAGGTATGGGGCCTATGGAGCGTGCAGAGGGCCCTGCAGGCCAAGGACTGCTGCCCAGTGAAAGGGCAACAGCATCAGAAAGGAAAGACAGTTTTTCAGGCAGCACTTCCCCCACGTGGTTCTCAGTGGCGGCAGCCCTCATCTTCCAAGGATCCTCAGAGGGCCAGGGATCCATGGAGGGCAGGTCCTCAGTTGGGGGCCACCTCTGAACCCCAGAACCTCTTGCAGGTTGGGAGCCATCTGATGGAGAAGCATTGGGCTTTAGAGGAACCCTTGTTAAATCATTTGGCCCAGGGTCTGGTTTTGGCTGAGGAAGTTCAGAGTTGGAGTGGCTGGTCAAGGAAGGTTGTTCAAGCAGAGGTAAGCTGGTTCCTAAGTCTTGGAGAACTATCTCCTCCACTGCAGCAATGCTTCGGGCAAAGAAGCCTGAGGAAAAGGGAAGAGGAGGCAGCCAATGGACTGGATGTTTGCCTTCCATGATCCCCTGCCTCTTTTTGCTTCAAGCCCCTTCATTTTCCCCAAGGACCCAAGGGACCCCCCCCCCCGGCCTTTACTCCTTCCCTCAATTCCAGCTCCGCTGGAGCCCCGAGTCTCCTCCTGCACAAGGGTTGGGCACAGCCTCCATACCTGGAAGATGAAGACAGATCAGAAGAAGCAGGCCCAGAATAGCCCTGCTCCCCACCATGCAGCCCTGCATCTTGCTCGGCTCTAACATCTGTCTCTGCACCAAGACAGCAAGCCCTTTATCCTCTCAGTGGGGCAGGGGACAGCAGAAACAAGCTGAGCCAGTGGTTGTGCAGATAATAAGCCTTACATTCCACTCTCATTCCTAATTCAGTCTGTGGCAACAGGTGCCACTTGAATGTCCCAGGGAAGCTGGGTGTTTCCACTCCCAGATCCTTTCCTCAAGTTCCCCACCCCTTCCTGACCCGAGTGTCCTGGTTCACAGCTGATTGCCAGTCCTACCCTGCCCTGGCTCCCTACACCAAGCATAGGAGGATCTTTGCCATTAGGGTCCCAGTCTCTTCATTGCCTTCTCAGTAATAGAAACACTTGATTCTCTTCACTTTCTCTTTGGGATCAAGATCATTCTCTTCAACACCCCTTTCTCATGCATCCCTAAAGCTCCTTTGCCTTGACCCCAATCAACAGAAGTGCCCCCCATCAGAGATGCTACTCCTAGATGAGACCTTGTATCTAAGGAAATAGATCTGGTTTCCATCCTTAAGAGATAATGGTGTATTGGAGCACCTGAATGGCTCAGTCAGTTAAGCTGCTGAGGGTCCAACTTCAACTCAGGTCATGAGTTTGAGCTCCACATTGGGCTCTCTGCTGTCAGCACTGAGCCCGCTTCAAATCCTCTGTCCCCCTCTCTCTCTGCTCCTGCCCTGCTTGCAATCTCTCTCAAAAATATAATGAATAGGGCTGCTTGGGTGGCTCAGTCGGAAGCATCCGACTTCGGCTCTGGTCATGATCTCACAGTTCATGAGCTTGTGCCCTGCGTTGGGCTCTGTGTGGACAGTTCAGAGCCTGGAGCCTGCTTCTGATTCTGTGTCTCCCTCTCTCTCTGTCCTTCCCTCGTTCCTTCTCTCTCTCTCTGTCTCAAAAATAAATAAACAATGGGGTGCCTGGGTGGCTCAGTGGGTTAAGTGTCCGACTTCGGCTCAAGTCATGATCTCATAGCTCGTGGGTTTGAGTCCCGTGCTGGGCTCTGTGCTGACAGCTCAGAGCCTGGAGCTTCCTTCAGATTCTGTGTCTTCCTCTCTCTCTGCCCATCCCCTGCTTGCTTGCACTCTATCTCTCAAAAATAAATAAACATAAAAAATAAATTAAATAAATAAACATTTAAAAATAACAAAAAATAAAATAATATAAAATAAATAAAATTTTAAAAAGAGAGATAATGGTGTATTAATTTTCCTACCACTGCTGCAACAACCACAAACTTATTGGCTTACAACCATACAAATTTATTATCTTACAATTTTGAAGATCAGAAGGCTGACATAGTTCTCACTGGTTAAAATCAAGGAGTCACCAGAGTTGTGTTCCTTTCTAGAGGCTCTAGGGGAGAATCTATTTCTTTGCATTTCTCAGCTTCTAGAGGCCACCTGCATTCCTTGGATTATGGACCCCTTGGATTATGGTTCAAAGCCAGAAACAATAGAATCTTCTTACATTGCATCACTCTAACCTTTTCTTCTTCCCCCTTCCACATTTAAGAACAGTAATGATTACACATTGACCCACCCAAATAATCCAAGATAATCTCTCTAAAGTCAGTTAACAACCTTAATTCTGTCTGCAACATTAATTTCCCTTCACTATGTAACCTAACATATATACTCACAGGTTCCAGAGATGATGTGGGTATCTTTGGTGGTGCTGGGGAGAATACCATTTTGCCTACTACAGATGGTCAAATGGGTCCACATAATATAAGAAATACTGAAAAGGAGTAGATATTCCCTATTCTAACAGCAGAGGAGCGTTTTTAAATGTTGTCAGATGGCCATGAATTGATCATTGAAGCTGGGTGGTGCAAGCATAGAGTTTCATTAATTCCTTTGTCTACTCTTAAATATGTTTGAAATTTTTACAATAAAAATTGTTTAAATGCCTTCATTTTCTCTGTTGCCTCAGGAACACCTAGACTAGGCTTCCCTGGTTGCATGAAGTCTAAAATAAGCTATTAGATTTTCCTTTCCCATCCTCATCTCCAGTCCTTGATCACTAGCTACTAGATGAGTGGGAGCTCCAATTCAGAACTGGCCAGTGGGGGACAGTGTCCTTTTGGAGTGACATCCAGCAGATTTGCAAAAGCCCTTGACTTTGATCACACCATAGACTAGAGTAATTCCCACATCAGAGTCTGTACCCATCCTGCAATTGTGGTGCATGGAGCCTCTAAGAGCCTCGATGTCTGTCATTGGCTGTAGTCCAGAGCTAGATGCTGGGCCAAGTGTGACTCATCAGTGATGAAAGAAACAGGACAATTCTGCAGTCCTTCTCTGTCTTCAGTCAACTCTGCAGGTGGCTCAGCTGCCCCAGGTTATTTCTGATCAATGTAACACATTTCTGCTGGTCAAGACTTAGAATTTCAATAATAGCTCTAAATTTGGGACCAGCTAACACTATCCAATAGCAGGGAATGAATTAGATTGTAGGGTTGGGAAAAATTCTTTTGTAGTCAAGCAGAGGTTCCAAGAGGTGACATGTGGTTTGTAGTGAGGTCCTTCCTGAAGGGACAAGCATAGCCTACTCTCCCCTCCTTGGTCTATAAAAACTTCCTTGGCCCAGCCTCCTCCCTCTTCCCCCCCCCCACCCGCCACCCCAGTCTCCAAAACACAGTTGTCTGGCCCTCACCACCCTCTGCTTTCTCTCTCTTCTCCCAAAGAGGCCACTCCCCTTCTCCACTATAGTACTCTGCCTTCTCATCTCCCATAGATCTTACTCTAGAACTGCAGCAGAGACAGCAAGAGTGTGGAGGTGGAGAGAACACTTGCCTCTGTTCTGCCATGGGCTGGGGCATTTTTATGTAGGCTAGTGAGTCATCATGCTTGGCTGCACTCCCTGTCATGCTCCCATCCTCTCTTTTACTCTCTCCACCTCCAGCTCCCAGAACAACGCCCACCTGGGCTCCCACTCAGTCACCAGGAATCTGGTCTTGTTGTATTCCAGGCTTCCCAAGGTCCCAAATGCCCCAGAAACCCAGAAACCAATACTCAGACTCCCAGAGAAAGAAGATGGCATCTAGTAAGTGAGGCAAACTAAGAAAGGAGCCTACATGGAGGCAGGTGGGGTGGGGTGAGGGTGGGAAGAGAATAATTAGGGCCCCATAAAGGGAGAAGGGAAGACCCCAAGGTGAATGGGGAGTGGAGAGGAAATGGATTTCTTGGAGCAGTGAGAGAGGAAAGAAAAGGGAGGAAGGATTTTGGAGACCACCTTCTGCTTTCAGTTCAACAAATATTTATTGTTTTCCTCCTTTGTGGGAGGAGCTATAAAGTATAAGAGAAATACTGGTCCAACTTATGAATGAAAATGGGGGACACAAGGATCTCTAGAAGCATAGGAGAGCATTACTCAGGGCCTGTAAGGGCCTAAAGGACTCCAAGAAGGCAAAAGTCTGCATTTAGTTCACACAGTTTATTGAGCCATCTGTCCAGGGTCCATAGACAGTAGGACTGAGGGTGCCCTGGTGTCTCTCTCACACAGAGAAGCATCTGAGCACTGAGGGAAGTGGCAGCCAGGAAGGGGGACTGAGACGGAGAGCTTGAGAGTCAAGGAGTGTTGGGAACTCACAGAGGGTGTGATGAGCTCTATAGTGGAGGATGAAAGTGAAACTGGGAGTGTGAGAACCCCATGGCATGTCATGTTCGTTGACCAGATGGCAAGGGGAGGTCAGTAAAAAGTTGTCATTGCTTTCAGGTAACAGTTTTGTACTTGCTATTTGGCAAACAGAGAGAAAGGGGAATGATTTATCCAGGAATCAGAGTTACTCTGAGGCATTTCAGGGGTTTCCCAGTCAAGAATCTGAATGGTAGGGTTAGCTAATGGACTGTACCTTCTCAAAGAAATGACAGAGGAAATTTTAGGGAGTGGTTATCTGGCAGGGAAGGCACCATAGTACAAGGGGAATCTAAGCAGTAGGAGAGAATGAGGAAAGGGATTTGGAGCCTACAATTTGGGAAGATGAAGAAAAAAGAGGTTTTAAGGGGAATCTACCATATTGGAGCAATGGAGAAAATAGAACAGATCTCTAGGAAAGGAGAAAGGAAACTGAGCTAACCCCATGCCTGGGCCCCTGGACTTCTCCTAACTGAGAGATGGTGTGTGTGTATATATGTGTATGCCCACACATGCACATATGCAAAGGACAACTTATGGACTGTCAAGTAACTCTCCTTGGGGTAGGAAAACTTCAGGGTCAGCTAGCTGGGGCCCCAGAGGCTTCACTTGGGCCAAGATGTCCCGGATGGATCTGCAGGGGATCTTTCCAGAGCTGCTGGAGCCACAGGGCTTGGCACCAGCTGAAGGATCAGGTTGGGGAGAACCATCGGGGCCCCCACTCAATGTTGAAGAAGAGACAGAAATACAAGGGTGACCAGAAGAGCTGGACTTGCTGCCACAGGGCTGAAGGATGATTTTGCCGGTGGATTGGGAGCTGGAGCTGGAGCTGCCGCTAAAGGAGCCAGTGCCTGGTGGAGAGCAAGGCCCCTGTGAAGCACTGCCGCAGGGATGGAAGGATGAACTACTGGAAATGCTAGAACTGCTGTGGACTCCAGAACTGGAAAGGGAGCAGGGCCCCTTGGAGCCAACACCACAGGGCTGGACCCCACCAGAGCCCACTGGCTGGAACACAATGGCCGAGGAAGCTCCTGATGGGTAGATGTTGGAACTAGAAGAGCTGTGGCTGGGGATGATGGGATTGCTGGAGAAGTATTTGCCCTCAGAGATGGGAGGCCCAGCTGCAAAGGAGGGGACCCCTGGAGAGCCTTTGACAGGGTTATCTTTGGTGAAGTAGCCTACAGGATAGATTTTGCCCCCACTGTAGGTCATGCCTGGGACCAGATAACTGTCAGAGGAGCCACCCACCACCTCATAGCTGCCATAGGATTTGTCTACAGAGGTGATAGGGGGGCACGGCTTGCCTGGAAGGCCACCACTGCTACAAGGGGAACCTTGAGCCAATCCAGGGCCACCAGAGCCATGCTGTTCCACTACCACCACTACTGGCCTTTGACCCCCTGACACAGAGTGGGAGCTGGAGATGTAGGAGCCTGAGTGTGAGACGATGGGCCCCCCACTGCAGGGAGAGTCGGAGACATCTGAACTACAGGGGCGTAAGTTAGAGTTGACCCTTTGGCCGCCACTGCCGGATATCCAGGAAGTTTGGGAAACAGATGAGCTTGAGCTTCCTCCAGACTGGGAAGAGCTTATTAGTAAGCGGGAAGAATCATGACTGACTGGTAGAGCTGAGCCAGACCCTGGTTGGGAACCGCTGCTTCCGGACTGGAAGGAGCTGCTGCTTCCTGATTGAGAGGAGCTGCTTCCCGACTGGGAGGAGCTGGATCCTGAGGAGTAGCTGATCTTGGAATACCCTGTTCCTGGCTTAAATAACGAAGATCCTGAAGAACCACCCTGGGCGACACTGGATCCGCTGGAGCCACCACTGGAGACACCAGAACCACTGGAGCCACCACCAGAGCTGCCGCTGGAGCCACTGGAACTGGAAATGGAACTGCTGGGGCTGCTGGAGCCACTGTGGCCACTGAAGCTACTGGAACCAGTCTTCCCAATGAGACAGGGGTCATTGGGGGAGGTGATACGTGCGTCCTTGCAGGGGTCTGAGAAGGTCCCGATGCTCTTAGCCAAGGTCCCTGGGGAGGAAGTAGTGGTTAGGGAGGGCCAGAGTGGCTTGGCTTCCCACCTCAGCTTTCAAGCCCATCTCAGTCAACTGCTTCTGACTTCTCCTGAGAGGAGCGCAGGGAGAGCGACTTTGAGGTGGAAAGGTAAGGGAGAACCAGGTGTTGTCTGCAAAGGAATGGCAGTCTCCGTGTTCTGGGAGGGGGCAGAGACAGAAGCCAAACATCTACCAGAGAAAAAGAAAATGAGACTCCAAAGTAGGCAGTGTTAAAGGAAAATAAGTGGGACAGAGAAGTAGCAGGAGCTAAAAGGAAGGATCCCAGAGAGACAGAGCATGGGGGAGGAGAAGACCCCTCAAAATGGGGCTAAGTCCTGAGGGAAAGAATCCCGGGTGAGACTGAGGGACCAAATGGAAAGAGAAGACAAAACAAACAACAATGGACTGGAAAGGAAAGGAAAAGTAGCAAATGAGACGCTAAGAAAAGAGGAAGCCAGTGGCAGAGGGACTGAGGCTAGGATACTTGAGGACTAAGATTCAGTCACCAGCCTCCCTGGAGAATCCAGGCTTGGGTAAAGGGTGGGAGTTCTGTTCCCATCTCAGCACTGCCCATACTAGGAAAGCTGGGTGGGGGCCAGGATGTGGGGGCACCCACTGTTGCTTCAGAACCTGCTGGTACAGCGTGACAGGACACCGCACCCTGAGCCACCCTTGCTGTCCTGGCACAGCTCAGGGACACGAGGATGGAACCCTCCCCTCAGGCTCATGACCATTATCAGCTTCCCTCTCTCCCCACCCAGCTATCATGCCATGTCTGCCTGTCCTCCAGTCTCCTGCTTTTACATCCCTAACAGACGTGAAACCACTTCTTCCCTTAAGCAACCATTTGCTTCTAACCCCAGGCTCACCTTACCCCCATTCTTCATCCACTCAACTCCTAAAGGTCCCAGGAAGCATAGGCTGGGCTTCATACTAGCAAGTGACTAAACCTCTCTGAGCTTCAGTTTATATATTTGGAGAGACCAAATCTGTCTACCAACAACCAGTTTCTCCTCAGTCTGTGATGTACCCATTCTCTCGACAAAGAGAACTTTTCTGTGTCCCCCTCCACACCAAATCCCAACTCTGCCTTCAGCTCCCCTCATTCAACTGCACTAACCATGGAGAATTCCTGCTCTCCTTCTCTACTCCCCCAAGCCACATGGCCTGCTCTCCACCCACGGGGCTATGGGCTGGGTCACTACAAATACCTGGTGGTCAACAGCACAACCCTGGTTTGGATGGATACTGGCTTTACTGCTTTATAATTTGTGATCTTAAGTCAGTTTCCTAAACTGGCCTAGCCTCAGTGTTTTCATCAGTACAATGAGAATAACAAATCTCTCTTAAAGTTCTTCTGATCAAAAATGGTAATGTAGGGGTGCCTGGGTGGCTCATTTGGTTAAGCGTCCAACTCTTGATATTGACTCAGGCCATGATCTCACGCTTCATGAGTGAGGCCCACACCATCAGTGAAGAGCTTACTTGGGTTTCTCTCACTCCCTCTCTCTCTGCTCCTCCCTTCCTCACTCTCTCTCCCTCAAAATAAATAAATAAGCTTTTTTAAAAAAAAAACTGATCATGTAAAGTGTTAGAATAGTGTCTGGCACATGAAAAGCATTCTATAAATGGTAACAATTATTACTATTAAATATCCAGTCTTCATCTTCTAGAGCTCTAATAATGGATAATAGTAATAACAACAATCAACATTTATACAATGCTCTAGAATTTCCAAAGCACTTGTCACATACATTATTTAATTTGAGACTCAGAGAAACTAGAGCTAAGTGTTATCATTAACCCTGTTTTAGAGTTTCAGACACTGTGGCTCAGAAAGTTAAAGTAACTTGCCTGGAATGACGAGACAGTGAGGACCAGTGTCCAGACTCAAGCTTCAGATTCCAGAGTCCCTGCCCTTCCCCCTTGCCAGGTCCTCTCCTGGTTTCTCTCTGGACGGTGTGTCCTCCCACTTCCCACCACTGGATCCCTCCAGCCTCCTCTGACCTGGTGTCTGATCCTTCCTCTGCCACCCCTCCCTGCTTTCCTTCACTCCCAGGGCCCCCAGCCTCCTACCTGGCAGGAGGAGACCAGCCAGCAGCAACGCCATCATTCCTCGCCCTCCCACACGCCCCTTCCAGGGTGCCCACGAAGAGCCCATCTTGGACTGTGCAGCCTTCTGACTGACAGCAACTCGTGGACAACCCAGGGCCTTTATGCCAGGGCTGGACATTCTCTGGGCAGGAGTCACTGTGGGGAGGGGTGGGGAGGTGGAGGGGCAGGTGCCCGGGGCAACTTGGTGTGGCTGGGAGGAGCTGAAGTAATTGGTTGGGGCATCTGCCTACTCAGCGGCAGAGGTGGCTTCAGTGTGGGGTACCTGTGGCCATGGGGCCCTTAACGATTCCTGCCACCTGACCGGCCTACCCATGCTCCTCATTACCTAACCTGGAACTGGGCACTCTGCCCACTCAGGTGGCCACTCGCACCACAGGACCCAGTTACCTGGCTCCTTCGCTCCTGCCGGCCCTGGTGCTGACCTGTCCCACTTCTTCCAAGCAGACATGGACCTTTCTACTTTCCTGTCCGCAACAGAGTACCTGCTCCGGTCCCCCACCCCACCGCATGGTTAACCCCACCTGGCTTCCCATCCGCAGCCCCTGGATCTGCCCCTTTCCTTGGGATCCATCACTCAGCCTCCACTTTCCACACTGCACCTCCAGTACCACCCGCCCCCCACCTCGTTGTCATTGTCCAGGTTCCATGCCTGCCACACACCATTACGTGTTCCATCAATGAATGAGTCTTTTCCCTCTTAACTAGGAATCTGCTCTCCAAACACCGGCTCCCTGATTTCTCCCCATCTAGGGGTGCTCTTTGGATAGTATGAAGGGTGCTGGTTACCAGGCCCTCAGCCTGAGGAGAGGCCTGGGCTGGGAACCCCTGTCATAGCTAGGTCTGAGGTTACTCACAGGCCACTCATGGCCTCTCCCCCACGGCTGATGACCCTGACTCCAGTGGGTGAGCCACAGGCTAATGAGACTAATTGGAAAGGTGGTGGCCCTGCAGACAGTCAGTCAGCTCCCTGGCCTGGATGACCGAACAGAAAACAGCCAGCTCCTGTCTGAGAAGGGTAAGGGACGGCCAGGTAGACATCAGGATCCCTGAAGGATGACAGGCAGGACTGGCAGATCAGAGCCTTGAATTAGCTAGAAGGGGGGCAGGTCCTCCTCCATCACATTCCCCTCCTTCTTGCTTTGGTCCTAGCCCCACCCCAGCCAATTAATTGCTCACTAGTATTGCCCAGAGTATCAGTATCGGAGGGAGAGGCCTGGGAGTTGGGTCAAGCTGACTCTCCACCTCCCCTACCCTGCTCCCCTCACCCAGACTCTCATCTCCATACTTCCCCAGTCGCCTCACAAAGGCAGCCTGTGTTCCAGCTCTTGGCTGCCCTCTCCCATTCCCTCTTTCCTGCCCCGCATTTAATTCTGGACCAGTGCCCTTTGGTGAAGGGAATGTTCTGTATCTGTGCTGCCAAGTACAGTAGCCATGTGTGGCTACCAAGTATTTAAAATGGGGCTAGTATCACGAACTTGAGGAATTGAATTTTTAATTTTACTTAATTTTAATTTAAATGCAAATAGCCATGTGCAGCTAGTGGCTACCATCTAGTCTGGTCCTTGACCTTGCCAGCACTCAAAATGGGAGTGAGAAGGAAAAGGGGCCTGGAGCTACTGCAGCAAGAGGAGATAATGGGACAGTGTCCCCTGAAGAGGGCTGATACAATGGGAGAAAAACAAAAACATCCAGTGGCTCTGGATGGATGACCTGAGTTCAAGTCCCAGCTAACTTCTGGCTTTAGGCAACTGTCCAAACCTTTCTGAACTTCAGTATCCTCCTCTGTCAAATGGGGAAATGGGGATATGTTTTATGCCATGCCTACCTTGCAGGGGGGTTGTGAGGATCAAATGGTAAATTATCAGAAAGACTAAAGGGGACTAAGGGCGCAGCCCTCCTGGCCTCAGGCTTAGCACAGGAAGCCTGGCCATGTCCTGTCTGTGTCCCCCCACTGGGAGACAGCAAGTAGGATGCACAGCCCCAGGCTCTTCCTTTGGGATCTCCAGCTCAGCTGACCTATAGGAGACCTAGAGCCTCCTTGCCCCTCTGCCCCTACAGAGCAGCGACCTTCGTGCACACAGGGGTGCTACCGAAAATGCCATCAGTTTCTCCAGTGCCTGTACTGGCCACATCTGTTCCCTCCCTGGACTCCTAGCCCCGCTGGCACCCATCCCCCAGAGGAGGAGGGGAAGGAGGGAGGAGCGCCGGGAGCAGGGAGGGAGTGTCCGAAAGAAGAGGTTGCATGGAGCCTTGTGGGCGGGGAGGAGAGGAGGAATTACAAGGTCTGTGGGATATTCTTTTCCAGCACAGAGGTGGCAACGTCTGTCCTGTTTTCTTCCTCTCATTCCTCCTGGATGCTGTCAGACCTCAGCCAGGACAGCCAGGGCTGGAGGAGGCACAGTCTCTCTCTCCCTCTCTCTCTCCTCTTGGCCTCTGTCTGGATCTCCAGCCACCCACACAGCCTGGTGTTCAGCCACAGCCCTCCTCCTGCTGTCTGACTGTCTGCTCTATCCACCCCTTTCCACCCAATCCCACCACCACATCTGCCCACATGTGGGCCCTCCCAGCTCCTCTCCCCTCTGCTTTCTCTCACTGGAATCCTATCTGCTCTGCTGTTTTCCCATGCTATGTCCCTGGGACTCATCATTAACCCTTCTCTCAGCTCAGGCAATGAAAATCTGAAGCTAATGGGCCTGAAGAGGACAGGGAAGGGACACTGGCTGAGTGCCTGCCCAGCTGAGGGCCACCTTGAGGGACACTCACCAATTAGACAACACTCACAAAGGTGCAGGTGGGTCTGCTGGGTAAGAGAGCATGGGTGGCCCGGGCAAACCCACACACACTAGAGAAAAATCAAACTTAAAGCATGTGCCTTCCAAGGATGAGAGACTGGGAGTTCTTGCCCCAAATTTATTTTTTAAAAAATTTTTAATGTTTATTTATATTTGAGAGAGAGGCAGACTAAGTGTAAGGTGAGGAGGGGCAGAGAGAGGGAGACACCGAATCTGAAACAGGTTCCAGGCTCCAAGCTATCAATCAGCACAGAACCTGATGCGGAGCTCAAACTCACAGACTGTGAGATCATGACCTGAGCCAAAGTTGGACACTTAACCAACTGAGCCACCCAGGCACCCCTGCCCCACATTTATGAGAAAGGCAGGTGGTGTCCATCCAGGCCGCCCTGGGCTACTTTGTGCTGCTCTGTTCTGTACAGGGCAATGGTTCAGCCTGCTTGGCCTACACTGTGCTTTGGAAGTTGCAACAAGGAGAAAGATGAATTGTCCTTGACCTTGAGCAGCTGACGTCCAGCTGGGGACAGACAGTGTAGAGAGAATGCTGGCATGGAGAAAAGGGACAGGCACTTGACTTTGAAGAGGTGACAGGACATTCCCTGGACCTTGGGGAAGATGAGCAGGGAAGGGAGGAGGTAGCTCAGACTCGGGACCCTGGTGGTGCTGAGGGTATGTTTAGAACAAGTAAGTGGCTGGCTTGGGAAGTAAAAACAGAGGAACAAAAAGGCTGTTTGGATCAGCATCAGAGATGATCTATAACATCAAGCTAAGGGAGGAATATGATATGTGCAGGAGGATGCAGGGAATTGAGGGTTCTGGGTGAGAGGACAGCATGGTCAGAGAGGAGGCGTGGGGGGGGTGGAAAACCACCATTTCCTCTAGGCCAAATACTGTCCCAGGTCCTCCACATGTGTGCTGGTGTTTAGTCCTTACACCAGCCCTGCAGAGTAAGAGTTTTTTCTCCCTATTTCACAGATGGGGAAACTGAGTTTAAATTAGCTGTTCAAGGGGCGTCTGGGGGGCTCAGTCAGTTAGGCATCCAACTCTTGATTTCACCTCAGGTCACAATCTCATGGTTGGTGAATTCAAGCCCCTCATCAGGCTGCGTACTGACAGCACAGAGCCTGCTTGAGATTCTCTCTCTCCCTCTCTCTCTGCCCCTCCCCTGCTCATGTTCTCTCTCTGTCTCTCTCTCTCCTTCAAAATAAATAAATAAACTTAAAAAATAAAAATTAATTAATTAATTGCTCAAACCAGCTGGTAACTAGCAAAGAGAGCTTGGAAAGGATGCAAACTCAAGCCTATTGGACTCCAGAGCCCATGTGGGTCCCATCCCTCAGCTGACAGCAGGCCATAAATTAATGGCAGTGGTCCATGGACAGACTTCACAGGTTCCTTAAACGCTGTAAGGGTGTATGCAAAATAGCTTGTGTGTCATCAAAGTCTCAAAAGTTAAGAGGTCCTAAGTGAGAAAGTCAACAGCACATCCTGTCCCTCCCACTCAATCTTTCCTCCTCTGTTTTTTTTACCATGGCGCTCAAAGTTGGGAGAGAAGTTCTAGAACAAGCATTCATTGCAGGGGTGTCTGGTAGACCTAGGGCTTCCGCTTGAGAGAAGGAACAGGGTAGTGAAAACACTGGAGGAGAAGAAGTCAAGAGAGGAGCTTGTTTTATTGGGAGGAAAGGGGGAGAGCCCGCTCTGCACCCCAGGACCAGAGGGCTCATTCCGCTTCTAAGCCTCTGTGCTCTGCTCCAGCCAAAGGCACTTTCCTCTCCTCCTCGCTCTTCCTCCATCGCCCTTTCTCTGTCTGTGGTGGGCTTCTCTCTGCAACAATCATCTCCCCCACCCATAGCAGGGCAAATGCTCCTGGCCCACTCCCAGTAGGGTCTCCCTGAGTTGTTTCCCTGTAGCGAGGATGGGTGCCCTGGGTCATTCACACTCTCCCCCTGGTCTCTCTCATGACAGAGGACATGGATCCAGGAACGAGTGGATGAATTTGTACAGGGGACTTGCAACCTGGTCTGTCCCCTCTTCAGCCCCGGTGTGCCCACGTGACTGCCTAAACCTCACTTAGTTGTGGTCTCTGTTCTCCTGCCTCTGTGATTTCGTCCCTGCGGCAGATGATCAAGTACAGAATCCACATTCCATGTGGTCTGACTCCTTTGTCCTCAGATAGAGTCTATAGCACATTACCTACGCAACCCCCACACAGCCTCAAATGCAACAGAAACTTTTGGCCCTGGACTGTGGGCTC